GAATTCTCTCGCGGTGCATTATGGGATAGTGTAGCGTCCACTGGATGCGCACTTCAGAATCTCTCCAGTTGTAGTAGGTCATCCGGGTACTTCTCACATGCTGTTTTTCAAATACTGTGAGGTCAGACATACTACTCGGCTCACATACTGTCTTAATGTACTATTTAGTATGGAAGTGTGTGATTTTAGACACAGCCAGTGTGTGTGTTCATGCTAATGACGTCACACATCCTCTATTTCTGCTCTGTTTGTTTAGCGAGGTTTTAATATGTTTGTGTTTTATTTGACAGCACAGAGCAGCATTATAACAGAAGCACAACATGTATTTAGTCTGATAAAACAGCACACGTGATCACGAGCTGAAGAACCAGACGCGCTGGACTGTGGCATAATAAAAGCTCTGCTGCTTTGTGTCGTCGTGCACTGTGCCTTTAAGCTGACATATATATGCTCATACAACTGTAGAAGAGTGACGGGAGACTGACCTGAGCGGCTGTTCTCATCGCTGGACGTCTCTGCAGCTTTGATGCGTTTCCGCAGAGCGTATGGTTTGACTCTGTCAGAAACACTCTGCAAATCATCATCCGCTTTCCTCTTCACTCCTCTTCCTCCTGATGTGGATTACAGTCAATAATGAACTATTAATAATCAGTTCTTTCATTAATTGCTGTTTATTTTACTCTGGGATTTAACAAATGACAGCACTGCTAATAGTTTTCCAGCATTTTCCAGTCATAAAGAGTGGACTGACCTGAGCTGGACGCCTCTGTGTCGGCGTCTTCTCTTGTGTTCTCCAGCTCTGTAACTTTAATGCGTTTCCGGTGGGCAGATGGTTTGCCTCCACCAGAAACACTCTGAAAAGCATCATCTGCTTTCCGCTTCTCTCCTCTTCCTCCTAATGTGGATGACAACACAATGAACAATAAACTCTTCAATTAATCGTCATGTTTATTTATTGTCATATCTTCATTCCAGATTTCTGTTGCGATCTTAAATAAAATAAATATTGAGAAAATCACCTTTAAAGTGGCCAAATTAAGTTCAAATCAACAATTGAGTTCTGACATGTTTACAGTAGAAAGTGCTTAACTTCATGAAACATGATCATAACATAATAATTGAATAATTTTGGGCATAATAGATAAATCAATCACTTTGATCCAGACAATGTATTTTTGCCTAATTGCCAAAATATCCCCATGCTCACTGGACTTACCAGCTAACTGAGTCAATCCTTTGCATGCTGCTTCACGGTTCGTACAAATTCCATGAGTTTTCCAGGACTTTAAAGTCAATTTTCATGACCTAATGTTTAATGTAATGTCTACATATATGTGGTAAACCATAAAAAAACATTTAAATTTATTACAGCATATCACAAAACACACAATAGTTTAAATTTATTTTAATATCTATGTAAAACAGATGATGCTTACACAGCACTAATAATGCGAGAGCGTGTTTTTGGCCCAGAAAATAAGCAAAAACAACTAAACCTTATTCCAATATACAGACATATGTCAAACTAATTTGAGATCATCTTAATAGTCTGTTAAACAAGTAATAGTAGATAAAACTACTTCTATTGTAAAGCTGCGGTCACGCTGCACTTTTCTCTCCATAGACTTCCATTCATAGGCATGCGAATACAGCAGACCAGAAATGCAAGCACGTGTTTCGCATTTCACTGCATACGAAAGCTCAAGTTCTTACCTGCGAAATCACATCAGGTGATTGAGTGAGACCAATAGAAGGTCACTTAAAATATGGAGCAATAATAATAAAAATAATAATAATAAAAATAAATATAATAATAATAATGACTAAATGTAAATGTAATTTCCATGACTTTTCCAAAACCTTTCCAGGCCTGGAAAATGCCATGACAAAATTCCATGACTTTTTCAGGTTTTCCATGACCGTATGAACCTTGCTGCTTCTTGTTTCAGAAGTTTAAGTGGTAACACATTATGGTGATGAAGCTGTAGAAGTGTTGATCTGTGGCAGGAAACACACCTGAGCTGGTTTTCTCCTGAAAACTGGTCATCTCTGTGTCTCTTGTGTTCTCCATCTCTGAAACTTTGATGCGTTTCCGCAGAGCGTATGATTTACCTCCACCAGAAACTCTCTGAAAATCATCATCCGCTTTCCGTTTCTCTCCTCTTCCTCCTAATGTGGATTACAACACAACAAACAATAAACTCTTACAATGTACAAATACAAGGTAGATGATCTGAAGTGTTGATCTGTGGCAGGAGACACACCTGAACTGGTTTTCTCCTCATAGCTGGTCATCTCTGTGTCTCTTGTGTTCTCCATCTCTGAAAGTTTGATGCGTTTCCTCAGAGCATACGGTTTGCCTTCACCAGAAACACTCTGAAAATCATTATCCGCTTTCCGCTTCATTCCTCTTCTTTCTCCTAATGTGGATTACAACACAACGAACAATAAACTCTTAACCTAAATCCTGATGTTTAATGTCATTAATTCAACCAGATTTCAATTGAAAATCTGAGAGTTCAAAATCCAAACATTGGGAAAATCACCTTTTAAATTGTCAAAGTTCTTAGCAATGCTTATTATAAATATCAAACATTATCAAGTGTTTTTTTAAATAAATTTATTGTAGCAAGTCTGTTTATAATCTTAATGAAACATGAACATAATATTCTCATGTTTTTGTGTTTCTTTGTCATATTTCATGCCTGTAGCCGGGGGCAGGGTGGGGGTGTCCTATACATGAGCTCAACTGTCCTATTTTGACTGTTACATCATCATAAATTGTGAAAATAACCCATTGAACCAAGCCGCATCATTCTAAATCTTTAGGAAATATTTTGGTTAATTGAAAGATGTGGTTATGATGACCATCCGACAAGCTAATCCAGCTTAAAATGTCACTAAAATGCAATATTTAAGCCTCATGAAAGAGGCAAAAAACTGCAAAAAGGTCTACATTTTGGTAAAAATAAAGAACCAGCTCTTTCACCAGACTGACTCCCGGCCTGTATTTGTCATGTGTTTGGCTGTTGCCAAACTGAGTCACAGTTTTGCTCGTTTGCACAATTAAATTATCATTCATTATTAGTATGGTATAGCTGCCCGTGTATTAAAATGAACATTTTCACCATTATACATTATAAATCATTATATATTCGTTAGGAAGAGTTTGACTTTGACTCAAGTAATGTTATCTGCATTTTACTCTGGTGTTTTTGTATTAAACTGACTGATGTTGTTTGCTTAAACACTGAATCTGCATTTATATTCAGGATTCTCTGAAAACACCTCTGTGTACCGTCAGGTTATGGAGTAATGATCGCCATATTTCGGCTAAACAAACACAGCTGAATATACACACAAACGGTTTAAAGCTGTTTTCATTTGTAAAAAGACCGTCAAATGGATTTTTAGCAGTGTAATATTGCATGGTCGTAAGTAAGAGTCCAAAATAAGTATTTCTAGAGTGTAAAATTAGAGTTTTAGTATCAAACATTTAATAATATAAAACAGGCAAATATGAAACACACGTGTTCTTAGTGTCTGGACTTACCCGTCAAGGTCTTACAACTTTCCATTCCTGCTAGAAACTTGAAAGGTCTTGTAGACATCGTCTGAAATCGCTCAACTGTTTTGCTCGATGTGTTTATCGACCGAGAGCAACTTTTACAATCAACCTTCATTTCTTGTTCCTGCAGATTACTGAAGCCGAGTTTACGCGCGTCAGCAGACCCTGTAGAACCGTTAGAACGCGTTCTGCTGTTGCCAAGCAACACGTCGTCTTCCGCGAGTGTATGTGGTTAATGTGACCTTCTTTACCCTATAAAGCAGCACGAATCATATTTAATACACAAGTTTATAAGATCTGTATAATATCATACTGATCATTATTTTGCTTGAAACCCTGTTGTATAGTTTGATGCCTGTATTTTGCCCTCTTGTGGATTTTCATGACACTGCAGGCAGTGGAAGGCTTTTTTGACCTTTTCAAAATGGCTGTTCTCATTGAATTGCTCCCAAGCTTTATATGATTAAATAAAGGTTTATAGATTAAATAAAGGTTTTCTTGATTAAAACGAACCTTAATTACTTAAGTCAATCTTTATGTTACAAATATTACACAAAGAATGGGGGGGGGGGGGATTATTCAGTCTATTTTTGTCATGCAGCACTCTGCAGTCTTCATAAACAAGCTAATTAAATAACTTAAAATAATCTTCCATCTTAATTTGACAAGTAACCTTGTATTGTAGGATACACATTTTTAACATTCAAGTACATCAAAGCACATTTTTGCACCTGCACTATAAAAAATTATTTGTTAGTTTGACTTTAAAAAGTTACCTGGTTGCCTTAAATTTTTGAGTTTATTGTAATTATAAATATGAGTTATAATAACTTGAGTGATTATGTTGTTTCAACTAATTTTACTAATATTTTGTGTTGTATCCACTTCTTTAAGCAGTTTAAGTTGACTTACAAATGTAAGTGCACTCAACTTAATGGTGTAAAATTGTTGAGTAAACTAATTTAAGACAACTTAATCCATTTGACTGCTTCAAGAAGTTGATATAATATAATTCGAAGTTATATGAACAAAAGATTTGTCAACTCAACTAAAAATAGTTTGTTGAAAAAAATAACTGAAAAAGTTATCTGGTTGCCTTAAAATTATGAGTTAAACCAACTAAATATAGCTTGTTGTAACAACTAAGACGTTTACACGGTTGACCTAAAATTATGAGTTAAATGAATTTACCACAGGTTAATACGACAAATGGATTTAAAAAAGAGACCAAGAACGTCAGCACAAATAAACTGTAATAACATTTATTATAACTTCAAGAAAATATTTTCATTCACGCAGAAGTACAGTCATCAATTCAATAAATTCATATTAAATCTCCTTGAAGCAACAGGATACAACCTGTAAGTTCAAACACCACTGAAAAAAATCATGCCAAGTTATAAATCAATCGTTATAAAGAATTTCTCAAACAGCATTAAAATTAGGCCTCTGAAATGTTTCTTCATCTATTTAACATTGTTAAGGTTTACACCAATACAGAAACATTTATAATGAAAACTGTTTACAACTGATTTTGTTCTCTCATGCTGAAACTGATATTCAACGCTCTGCAAAAGTTCATGGAGTAAGAAATAAACTCTTAACTGATTAGTGGATTTTTGCTCACGCATGCACTTACTGATATCCATGTTGTTCATTTAACTTTAATGACTAAATCTCAATCCAGTGTGACGAGTTGCTCACACTTAATGAGGAGAAAATGTGTTCGATGATAAGCAACTTTAATGTAAGTGATTGTTTTTCTTGTTCTCGCATTACACAATTCCCACCACTCTCATTGAGTTAATATAAAAACAGTCTGCTAGAACTGCAGTTTAACACAACCTGAGTTTGTTTATACTTTTTAAAGAGTTTATTTTAATGCTGTTTGAGAAATGCATTTTACTGTTTCTTGAGATTTCTGACTTGTTGAATTTTTGTTAAACCGCAATTGTAGCACAGAGTTGATATAGAATGTGTGTAACAGAATGTCTGCTACTGTGCAATATGAAGTGTAATACGAGAACGAGAAAAAAAATAAAGCTTATTATCCAGAAAATGTTTCCCTTTTCATGAAGTGTAAGCGACTCATTACACTGGATTGAGATTTAGTCCTTAACGCTGAAGGAACAACATGAATATCAGTAAATTTGAGCATCCACTAAACACTTAAGAGTTTAAATCTTACTCGGTGAACTTTTGCAGAGCATTCTTCACCACCAATTTTCATGATCTCTTTTTGGAGGATGAGATAAGTGATTTTCAGGGCAAGAAGAATCCCTATTAGCATAGCAAAGACATTTGACTTCCCTGAGGCCAACGTACAACCTCTTCCTCTCACACCACAGCCACATTCATTATTTCCATTGGATGAAGATTCGAGGTGTTCTCCTCTATGACTATAAATAGTCCAACATTTATCACTGCCTCTTCTGCCTCATTCAGACTAGCAGCGATTTTGTAGCTGCCTGTCGCTCTGGGTGGCGAGCTGCTTCAAACGCAGATCTGTGGAGGTCTATACAGCACGAATACAAGCAGCCTCTGAGCGAGCTGAGAGAGGATCACGTGAGCTCTACTGGTGCTCCTATAGAGTGGAGGAACCATGACGTCACCTTGTAGGCGAATCGGCTGCTAGCATAAAACTTTTTTTTTTCCCATAGGCTTTTCGAAGATTACTTATATTAAGCTTAAGTGTTCAGACACTGTTCATTACATTTACACTCTTTGTCCAGGCGGATAATTCTCACACGAAAATTCATATCATTTTTAATTTTACATCACTTTTCTACATTGATGGATCAGTGACCGCACGGGCATTCCTGACAAAAAGCTTGTGTTTGTGTGGACAGAAATGTACTATCCACCCTCCCTGTTAAATTTGATCAAATCATGTCCTGAAACACAGCTCCTCTCCTGCTTTCACTGCTCATACTGACAGGGGGAGCGATTAGTTTGTGAATGAATCTTTGTTATGAACGACTCCTTCACTAGCCGACAATATTTCAAGTTTCTGGCAGCGCAGCATTTCGTTGTCATATTTCTTTTGCATTGTTTGCTGATTTTATTCAACAAAACTAGCATAAGTCGAGTGTTTAGTGCGAGTTGGAGCTGCTTTGCCTCATGATGAATGCAGTAAGTGACTGTATTATCATCAATAACGCTACCTGATTAGCACAAATTTCAGAACATACAAAAACATAAACAACTTAATCTTACCTATGTAATGTTCTGCCTTTGTGCTTTGTTTTCTTTGTTTGCTCATTACTACACTCGTAGACAGCGCTACAGTCCCGCAGTCTTGACTAGTGCAGTTGAATGACATTTGTCCTGGGGGCACTGTACCAATGTGACGGCGCTATAGACGCATGCTCAGGGTCCCTATGCGATATCTAGTGTATATATCTATGTCACAAATTGAGGTGCGGGGAAAGGAGGCGGAGTGGAGCGACAACGCGGGGAATCCTTCCCAAACTGAGGAGCGATCACAAACCGAAAGCGGCGAGAGCGTCAAAGTAGCCAGAAGTCATTCATTTTTTAACGAGAACCGGCGGCGAGAAACAGCGGCGCGTCTTCATTGGCCATGACGCGGTTTGGCGGCAAGCAATCAGAATGAAGTAGTCCACCGCTTGAGAGGAGTTCAGAGAAGACAGACCTATGAACTTTGGTTCCGACCACAGTTGTTCCCAAGAGTTTGATTATTGCGGTTCCTGGATTTTCAATTATTGAAAATCGCGACGACGTGGGGCCCCCTAATCACGCGGGGCCCCCCCCCCCGCGGTGCGTGCCCTGCGGGCCCGTCGGCTACGCCACTGCATGCCCATCTGGTCATCAGTGGTTGCTGTTGCTGGCGTA